CCATATGCAAATTTCATGTTTAATTTCAATTTCTCAGGGACTAAAAGAGCAAATCAAATAGATTTTTCGCCCTGAATCACCACTTTTGAAGTGTTCCTTTGAAGGACACAAGGGTCACATATTTTTCAACAGAGTGAAAGCTTCCACAGATATCTCCTATATTTCTCTTTGTTCACCCCTCTTACACACTATGGCCTCTTCAAGGACCCTGCGGACCAAAAAAAAAAAAAGCCAAGCACTTTTATATGGTACGGGACTCCGCCAGTGTTATCATCCATAATAGCACTGCTACAGTTCAATAGCCACCCAAACGGCACGCAAGCCTCACCCAAGCAAAACCCAGGGCGACCACCTGCAAGATACATCAGCTGTCAATCATCTCCGCTCAACCATATTTAATTAAAAAGGTTAGGGATTCATTCCTCTGCTTGTATTTGCTCAACAATTTGCTAAAGATCACTCGCACAAAAGCACAGATTAGATGTTTATTCCTAACAAAGGGAATTATAGTAGTGCCATTGGTATATTCATTCTGATAATTGCTTTGAAACTTGGAAAAATAAAGCTTCATCTGGCTGCTGTGTTGACCGGCTTCCTGTGAGAAAATGGCTGATTTGTGTTGCTTGACAGGAGAGCAGGGCTCCTCTCCCGATGTCTATATTCGTCTCAGTAACAGATGGTGCTGAGTTAAGGATCTGCCGTCACGAGGGTTTGCAGACTCCTCTTGTTTCTAGCCAGCGGCGTCAGTCATGAGTCGGGCTTGAGTGAGGTAGTGACTGATCTTTTCTCCAGACGGAGGAGGAAGCATCAATCATCAGGTCGTGCTGTGGAGAGCACCTCTGCAAACGCTGCTCGACAAGAGGCTGGATTTGGTCAAGCTGTGACCGGTAGGATGGGTGACTAGCTTCGCCGCGTTCTGCTCTGATCTCTTTTGGTATTGGTCAGTGGAGACACTGTCGAGGTTGAGGATACGTCTTCATTATAAATGGGCCCAGAGTTAACCGGTTTGACCTTTTATTGAAAGTATTGAGTGACTGAGTAATGAGGTAACGTACGTCACCACATGTTACGGATTCGTTTTGCCTGATTTGTTTCACTTGTACTGCTTAAGTCAAGTGTTTTGATACACAAATGAATGTTAGGAAACCCATAATGAATCCATTTTTTTTATTTTTTTTTTATTCAATACCTAACGCACAACAGGTTCACTCTGAAGAGTTTAACATAGAAGCAAATCAATTTTTCTTTCTGGGCACTTAATTAACACACAAAGCCATCATTTATTTTATTTTGTTAGGTGGATTTGGTTTGATGGAATAAATGGGAGCCATGTAATGATGGCAATATAGATTTATGGTGAACTTGGTTAGTTTCATGTTAACACTAATTAAAGTGTGGCGGTTCATTTTCTACATTAATTATAGTGGCTGCAAGGCAGTGCTGTATTGATATTCCTCAATCATTCGAGTCTGGTTTGAACTAAAGCTTTAACTCTAACTATTAAACTTCTCCAATTAATTCAGCCTGAATCATTTAACACACAGACTCCATTCAGACTTGTCTTCTCCATATCAGAAATCTTTTCTGGGCCTTCACCTTTACAGACAAATGGCTCCTTTTTATCCTTTTTATCTCCTTTTTACCTTTTAGTTTTCTTTTCTTCTGACTATGCACTGTTATGCCTATAGTTCACACTATAGGATCTTAAGCCCGATTTAAGCCCGATTTGCAAGTTAACGAGCTCGCCGACAGGTCGGGCTGTGACCGGGGAAAAATCAGCGGGTGATCAGCACTCGGCGATCTTTATGTGTGAACTACTCAACAATGCATCAAAGAGGCTCGCTGACACGGATATCTAGCATGCCAAATATCTGGACCAGTCGGCTGACTCGACTTCACATGGTGTCAGGTGTCGTGACGAGCTACAGCCAGTGAGAGAGCAAGGCATGGGTTGAGGTCAGCAGAAGAAAAACAGCAGTAGCAACACGGCTTTAAGAAAAGTTTGGAGACAAGAAATGGAACAAAATTTTACAGAACACATCATCATGCAAACAGCTTGCAACACTAATTTCTTTCTGATGTCCATTTTCAAATAAACAACTCCTGTTTCACTTCTTGTTTCGCATCATTCCCGTTCCACTTCTCGCATGTTTTCATGAGAAACGTGGTTTGGGGTCCGTGTAGAGTCGTTATGGTGACAGCTGTTGTTGTCAGCTTGTGTAGTGTGTGACCCCCTGTTGCCGATCATTTACGTAGTGTCGTGTTGTGTGAACACCACAACGACTTCAAGACAGACAGCAAGTCATGTAGTCTGAACAGCACAGCGGTCTGCCGACATTTTAAGTTTTAAGTTGTGTGAACTAGGCTTAAGGCAACTGTGTTTTGTTTGCATTTCCCTTGTTATTGGATTTGTTCAGGCATTATAGCCTTAGCTTGATATCTGTTTTTATACTTTTTAAGACATTTAAGATTAAAGTTTAATATTTCAGGTTTCAGATTTTTTGAATGAAGTCTCTTATGTTCACCAAGTCTGTATTTATTTGATAAAAAAAATAGAGTAAAACAGAAATATTGTGAAATTGTATTACAATTTAAAATTACAGTTTTCCTTTTGAATATATATTCAAATGTAATGTATTCCTGTGATGGCAAAATTTTCTGCATTTTTCAGATTGAAGTCATTCGTCAGTTTCACATGATCCTTCAGAAATCATACTAATATGCTGATTTGGTTCTTAAGAAACATGAGGTATCATCAGTGTTGAAAACAGTTGTGCTACTTAATGTTTTTTTTTTTTTGTGGAAACGTATATATTTTATTCAGGAATCTTTGATGAAAAAGAAAAAAATCATTCTGACAAAACTTTGCAAATGATTTACTTCAATTTATTTGCAATTAATTTTTCTTAATTACTAATAAATAAAAGTTATTTTACAAATAATGTTAAAGATAGAAGTTACTCCATACTGATCCCATTTTATTCAGCACCACTTTTTTCCTAGTCCTAGACTTTTAAGTGTAGATACATTCTAATTCACCAAGAAGTGATATTTCTTTGTAGTTCATTTCAAACTGGTTGAAGTAAAATTGGTCACACAATCATTTGGGGGAACGGTTCCTCCATAAATAATGCCCTGGGTTACTATTTAAGTCTTGTGCCAGCTGCAGTGGGGGTGGAGGTTGGAGAAGCATTACCTGAGAGAGGTTAGGAATCATCCTCTCCACTCATGCAGAGCACACTTTTAATTAGATTATCCAGGCACCCATGCACAGCTGTGAGGGATTAGACACACTCTGTCAGGTCACAGTGGCTCAGTGTGGGGCTGGACTGCTTGTCCACTGGATGACTGGATGAGTCCTGTGCTTGAGGAGCTAGAGGGAAACTCAAAAAACTGCTTGCTTCTGTTATGGTGGTACAATTTTGAGTAGGAATAACAACATAAAGAAATGTAAAACTTTTCTGTCCACACTGTCCAAATTAAAAAACATTGCCTAGTTTATCTTAATATTGTTGATTCCAAAATAACTTTTTACTCGGAGGGCTTCTACATGATTATGGTAAATATCTGGTAGAATTAGTTAAAAGCAACAAGCTTTTGTTCTAAAAACTTAAAACTTTCAGGAGCAATTAGACTTACACTTTTTTTGTATATGTTTTTTTTATGTTTTGATTTTGTGTTTTACAATTAGTTTTTTTTTTTTTTTTTTATCCACTAGGGCGTGAATAATTATAGTCATTTCATCATTTGTGTGATTTATTTAAATGAGTTACATGTTGATTTTGTGGTCAAGTTTAGCAGCTTCTTGTATTCTGATCTTGTGTTTTGAGGTCTGTGTGACCCTGCAATATTTCTCATAGGAAACATTGGGTAAATCACATAATATTGACTAATTTGCATTGGTTTTATTAATAAAACTGAAATAATTTTATAGTTACTTAATCTAAATAGTCAACTGATCAAAGTTCACTCAAGAATTTGCTTAAGTAAATAATTTGAGCTAAAAAACATGCAAACTGTTGCTATGAAACACAAATACAAAACAGATTACAATCTAATAAAGTATATTTGTTGTGTGTGTATAAAACATCTCTCAGCAGAAAGCAGACCACTGTTGATTTAGTCTGTACTTTTCAGGCAGGGTGTTGTTGCTTTTCTTGTTGTGCTGTAAAAATCACAACTGTTTTGAAAGTTGTTTCACCTAAAAAAAAAAGTGCTATAATGAGAAAACAATCTGTCCCAGTTTGGGTAAAGGATATTGAAGGTGTCATGTGGCAATTATCAACTTGTGCAAATTTAGTGGATAAAGAGAAAAAAAAGTGCAGTTAAATGATTTATAGTCTCTGGAGTCTCTTGGCTTACTTTTACACTTCAATTAATTTTGTTTTGAAGATTGAGAGAATGGGCAGGCCTGCTGTGTGTCTCCTATAAAATCACAGAGTGAGCTTTGGCATGCTGATGGGCCTGAGAGCTCTTAAAGTTTACAAGTTACAAGATAACAATGTGTTTCTCTTTGTGCCTTCCACGTGCCGTGACGGGTAAGAAATAAGCGAAGCCGAGCTGCCAGAGCACCTTAGCACCGCTTCATTTCTCTCTCTCATGTTTAACGGTCTGTTGCTAATTTACTTTCTCTCCCAGCAATCCTTTTTTAATAGTGCATCCGTTTGTTCAGGAGACAATTGATTCCCTGCGTTGCCATATTCATCAGTTACATTAACTGAAGCTTGTCCGGAATATGAATTATGGAGGCCGTCTCTCCATTTCTGTCCCTCGTTTCTAGCTGCAGCTTCACATCAATAGACCATGTAAATACCTTTGAGGAAAACAAATGTTAACCTAAAGTCAAAAATGTGCTAATTACACTAATGATAATGAGTCTTGCGCATATTCATCAATGCTTTGTTAAGTGTCGTCACGTCGTTGGGTCGTGAAGGGAGCCTTCGAGAAATACTTGTCGCATTTATTGATGTTTTCTTCCTGTTGTGTCTGCTTCGACACAGGGACTTTGACAGCTTGTCTGATCTGACAGAAGAGTCCAAGGTCAGGTACATTGCTCAGCGGTGGGACGAGCTGGGATTAAAAGACATCCAGGTGACCATATATATATATATATATATATTATGATAATGTTATATAAAAATGTAAAAATGTGCATTGTCCTTCATGTGGTAATCAGCTTGTATTTCATACTTTATACTGGTTCGTTTGGTGTGGACCAAAAAAGAAAATTATTAATTTAGTCCTGATTCGCTTAGCATTCCCACTGCCATTTTTAACACTGAACCTAAGATATAAAACAAAAGGTATATGGACATGGTCACAACCTGACTGGACAGCTTTTATGTCAATTTTTTTGCTAACTATTTTTACCAGCTTATAACACATGAAGAGCTTACAAAATATATAAAGGACTCGAAACAATTGCTTTTTTGGTGCACACCATGGTTTGGATGGCAGCGTTCACACTTATTGAAATGAACTGCTCCTGCCATGTGTAAACATGCCCTTAAATGCTTTAGATTATGCCAACAAAACAAAAGACGAGCTGGGATTAAAAGACATCCAGGTGACCAATCACACGGCTCTTCTGAGCAATCCTGGACCAGCCCTCAGCACGATCATCGATAAGAGCGGAAACCAATGTTACCTGCCTAGCGGAGTGAGGTGTGACCAGCCGTTTGCATCCATGACTGACCCCTTTGCCTTTGCAGCCTATTCGGCTGTGGGAAATCTAGTGGTGAGTTACATTATATCATTATACTCAAGTATATACTCAAATGACCAATACTATACTCACGAAATGTGGTAACTTGCAATTGTTACCTTAAGGGTCCGTTTCTAAATGATCTAACCCATAAAATGAATTTTGTCTGTGTAACCTAATTTGTCAAGTTGATTAAGTAACATTAATTGACATTTTTGACTTGAAGAAAATTTGAATGTTACCACTGAAAGTGCATGTTTAGGTTACCTGGGGGGGGGTCATTTTGAATGACCGGTTGTTACACGGTCATTCAAAAGTTTGGGTCAGTAATATGTTTGTTTAAGAAATTAATACTTTAATTCAGCAAGGATGCATTAAGTTGATCAAAAGTGAAATTAAAGGCATTTATAATGTTTATAATGCATTTATAATACAAACCAGTTTTGTTATGAATAAATTCAGTTCTTTTGAACTTTCTGTTCATCAAATAAAAATGTATCATGGTTTCCACAAAAATATTAAGCAGCACAACAGTTTCAAACATTGATAATTAGGGATGCAACAATACATTTAGCCCACGGTTCAATGCATACCTTGGTTTTTTTAACGACAGTTTTTGGTTCGGTTCTGATGGAAAAAAAAAAAATTGTATTAAATTAAAAACTCCTGTACATTGGAGAAAAATATGGATTATCATTATTTTTCCTATTTTTTATCCAAAATAGGATGGATTGGCTATTATTGAGCGCTATAAACACGTCATGTCTGTTTCATTCATACTGGAAGCCGGAGGGTGCCCTCACGCAGAAATTCCGCATATGCATCACAGAAATAACAGAACTCATGATGCTCCAGGAAATCCCTAATATGGACAAAACCATTCAGCTGCTGTAACTGGATAAACAGATAGAAACGTTTTGAATGATGAAAAATTAAGACAGTAAACACTCGGCTGCGACAATATATGGTTTATTTGTGTTCTTCAAGCCATCTCTGTTATTTTTATAATGATTAAGTATATTTATAATCCATTGCTAATCGACATAATCTTTATTACAGTATAGAATATATCTTCTGCCTCTTTATATTATAATGTTCTCTAATAATAATATTCTCTTTTGTTAAACAACAGGTTTAGAAGTGCTTCTCATTGCAAGTCATTACAAGGGAGAGAAATAAAACACATGGAAATTATTTAACACAAAACCGAACAAAATGCAATTCACAAGCACATATTGAAGCGTGGATGTGGTACCGAATGGTTCAATATTATTTTGAGCATTGTGGCATCCCTATTGATAATAATAATACATGTTTCTTGAGCAGCAAATCAGCATATTAGAATGATTTCTGAAGATCATGTGACACTAAAGACTACAGTAATGATGCTGAAAATTCAGCTTTTCCATCAGAAAATGATGATTCATGCCACTCAGCCAATCAAATTTGAGGACTTGAATTGTTTTATAATTTATAATAGAATAACACACAGTTGCTTATTGACCTTTTTTATTATTGACTGTACTGCACAATAAATGCATTGCATTGGCAGCTGCAGATGAATTAGCACTAGAAATGCCATGCAAACACACTCTCACTTTCACAACCATGAACACTTCATACCGTCAGAAGGTTAAAACAAATCCATTATGCAAGACTGAACCTATTTCACACACGTGTGTTATATTCTCCAGATATTTTTAGAGGTTATGCTTTCTGTCTCTAAAGGGAAGAGGAAATATCGAAGGAAGATGCATTGCCATTATCCGTTTCAAGACAGCCCCGCTGTATCTAACAGGGATAAACCTTCAGTAAAAAGTTATCTGAGTCAGTCACAGTCGGTCTTTCATGCCGTCCTCTACAAGGGGGGTCAAAGTCATCCATCATAACACTGCACATACTCAAAGCTCTGATGTAAATTAAACTGCATTTGCAATGTCTAAAAATCAGTAGGGAAAAACAAATATGACTGGCTTGATGGATGAAATGCTCAGGGATCTCGTGTCGAGGCGTTAGAGATTCATCCAGCTATCTTGAGCCGCTCATGGGTCACTTGGCATTTTACATTGTACTTTTACCAACTCCCAGCTCCACAACTAGGCTAAAAAATTCACCATCTTTTCCACTGAAAAATGTAGAGATGTACAGCATTACCACAGTCACGTATCCACGGACATTGGCCATGTATGTCACAAGCAGGCTTGACTGGCATAGCAGTTTAACTAATCATGCCAATTATAAAGTAATAATGAAGTACTGAAAAACATGTATAATCAAAACCCTATTTTAAGACTGTGTCGTGATAGATTTAATTTAAATTGTCTTTTTTTCCAATGAGCCTGTAAATTGAGTATAATCACAAAATATTTGAGTTGTGAATAGAACTTGTTCATTTAATTCAAATTACATTAATGAGTCTTCTACACTTGTTATTTTGCTATTAATAGCATTATATATCTATCGGTTCTTTCTGTCTGGCTGTCTAATATTTTATTAATTAATTCATGATTATTTATTTATTTTTATGTCATTATTTTGTCATTATTTTATTGTATTTTATTTGACTTTACTTGGAATAACATGCACTGATAATTCATGCACAATAATACCAGGAATGTGTGTATAATTTTTTTATTAAAAAAAAATATTTTTATTTTTTATACCAAAGCTCAATCGACAAAGAAATGCGTTTTCATTTCTTCAGGGAATCAATAAAAGTCAATTTGTCCACAGCATTCAAAACAAGAAACAAACAGAAAACTGCAGGTAATTTGATATCTTGTGGTAAATTGAGTGGAGGCTTTACCTCTGGTCAGTAATAAGTTTGAGGGGGGCCCCCGAGGGTAATTATTTTTGATGAGTTAAATCCACCATACTCCCTGGTTATTTCTCTCCACACCATATTAGTGATGATCAGGTGTAGGCGCTGGGCAATTACTGCCTTTAATTTCTCTGAGAAGAAAGTGAGGTCAGGTAGTAAGAATGAAAGTTCCTCTTCTTTTCTTTTAATTTGTGTGTGTCTGGCCTACTCAAAGAGAGGAGTCTTCTACTTTTTTCTATACAATTGTAAGTTTCTATGCTATACAATTTGTATAAAACTGAGTGTTGCATTTTAAACATTGACCTATGTTAACAAGTCTCATATTAATGCATTTTCGTCCTTTTAATGCTTATAATGCAATGCTGTTAAAACCTTGGTTCTTAATTTTTTGAATCCCCCCATTGCCCACAACAGTATTTAATGGCCCAGCAACCCTAGATTCTGTAAACTAAAATGCAGGATTTCAGAAGTTTTGAAAGCATTTTAACCAATCAATTTTCAGAACTTTTCCAGTTGTTCATGATTTACTGGATAAAAACAGAGATTTTTAAGTGTTTTTTTTTTTTTAATTCACAATTTCTCCAAAATAAAGTTTGATGAAAACTCTGGGAAAAATTAAGAGACCACTGCAAAATTATCAGTTTTCCTGGTCTAGAAATTACACTTTTAAAATGAGGCTTTTTTTTAAGAAAAAAAAGAGGGGGAAAGTTTTTGAGGGGTGAATTAAAATAAGAAATGTCTTGTTTTAGCCTTAATTTAATGCTTCTGTCATCTCGAGGCCCCCTAGTGGGCCCCAGGTCCTTTGGATGAGAACCACTGCATTAAAATAATAATTACTGATGAGTCATATAGTTGTACATTAATATTTAATTTTTACTTAAAACATGTTAAAAGAGGTTAATGAGCAAGGGACATACTTTAGCGTCTTGACTTTAGCTTTGGTTGAAGCTGACGTTTAATTTTTTTCGCAAAAACCTTTTAAGGTTCAAACAACGTTTGATGGACACCCCACAGCTCTGTCTCAAACCCTTCCTTCATTAAGCCTTTTTTGAGAAAGACTTGGATATTGTTCACCTATCTTTGAAGATAGGTCATTGTTTTAGAACATATGAGCTGAGGATTTGATCTTGTAGCTGATGTATGATGGTGTGTAGAGAGAGAAAGAGAAAAAAAGCGTTTCCTTTGATACGTGAGCTATACTGTTGGGAGTGGTCATTTGTATTAATTTAACATTGATTGCTTTATATAAAAAGAAAAGCGGTGAAATGATGAAACGTTTCTGCAACACCTCGGCAAATCCAGTGTGTTAACATAGTTCAAATTGTAATCTTACATGGAAATTTACAAAAAGTTCAATCAGATGGACACAAGGAGGGCATTTTAAATTCCTTTGAAATTTTAAGAGGTTCTCACTTTAATGATGCCTTATGGCCTCTGAAAAATGAATTGAGCATTGACGAATTGACACATTTTTATTCACAGAAGACATGTTGTCACTCTCGCCGTCTGGCCTCTAATGGTGCTGTGTGATTGGGGTGGTATTTAACATTCTCCTCAAAATAATGTTTAATTATGGGCTGAGTATTTCTTTCCGCTCCTCAGTCACGTAGATGTGAAAACAATTGTTATTTTCCTCTAGTTGCTTCAAGTCGCCGGGGGTGAGATGACTCGTGACAGGAGCCGTCGCTTGTCTAGAAAAGCGATTTGTTCTCCGCAATGTGTGCCCTCGTTAATTTCATTACCTTAATGACAGCCTCTCAGTGCAAATCTCATCCATTCCCAATTTTCTGCCTCTTCTTTACCCCAATAGACGGAACGCTCTTCTAATGCAAATGCAGACATTAGTGATAAATCCCATCTTTCAATGGTCTTGTGGTTTCGTGAGACCGACTAGATGTACTCTCCTGCCCAGAATCATGTTTCATTTCCCCCCAGACCCAATGAAAAATGAATCAAACTCAGGTAATGCATTTCCACTTTGTGTCTCTGGGCCTTAAATAGCATTTAGTTTGACCCCACCTCATCATCCCTTGTCGGTCAGAGGTACTCACTTTTCTTAAACTCACAAACCGGGTTTTGGTTTATTAGTGCAGACTAAATGACAAGAAGGATGCCGTGGCCTGTAGCTGCCATGAATCTGCCTTGCATTCTTTCAGAGCTGTGACATCTATGCTGCGTCTGTGTGTGATGTATGGTACAATGGTTAATATATGTACTTGTCCCCCATTATGCACAGCCAGAGATGTTCCCTTTGTTTTCACTCATGCTTTGCTATCAGTAATGAATGTGACAACTAGCTTTATGGGGTGTTACGTGAGTCACAACATTACAAATCAGAGGCTTGTTATTCCTCACACACACAGCAAGAGAGGTCAGAGTCTACCCTGAACCATTTAAAATTTGTAAATGTTTAAACATA